TCACTCACTCTCTCGTTTTAAATTCCCTGAGCGGGTGTTTGGCGTGTGCTCGCTCTGGTGTGGTTTGCTCCTTCTTTTTTTTAAAATCATACATCCATCGTCCTTATCTGCTATTACTCTTTTGTGTGTTTATTACTCTCTTGTGCCGCCCCTCGTCTTTGACACGTATATGACTCATCTGTGTTGCAAATGCCGTTAAACTTTAGATGAAACTTAACCAGAATGTTGTGACGCCCCCCATGGTCACTACAAATGACCTTGTTCTTGTGCTTTGTTCCAGGAGATCCGGAAGCTAAATCTGACCCGCTTCAGCTCGTCCTGCCCATCACTCAACGAACCTTTCAAGTCTGTGGCCTTGTCTCCGATAGATGAAGGAGGTGAGTGGAGCATGAAAGGAGGGGGAAGTGGATGTAGGTGTGCCCAGAGGTTAGGGTAACGAAGAAGGAAAACGACAAGGGCAGTGCAGTACGCCAAGAGTCATTTATGCGTATCTGAGCATAACTGTTTACGAGTACTATTCCACTAACAGATAGGTCGCGCTTCCTGCTCATGTGCAGAAATGGGGGAGAATAAGGGGGGGGGGGGGGTGACGCTTTCATCTGTACATGGCTGGCGTTTGCTTGAAATGAAGGTTGTACATGAACAAAATTGACAAAATTGGTCCTTTCGAAGGCGAGACACTGGACTTGTAATCGCTTAAGTGCTCTTTCACTCTACCCACTGGATGAGGAGCCTGTTATATTATTGGGAATCTTTCACTGCTGAGATACATCAGCCCATAGCCTAGGTTTGTGTCCACTTTCAGTGTGGAAGCAGTTTGTCTCCACTGGCACTGTGGAAGCAGCTCACCAACGATTCATTTTTAAAATTGTGTCTCAAAAATCATTATTACAGTTTCCCTCGTCGTAACTAACCTCACCCTCACACAAGCCTTATGAGCAAACCTTTTTTTTTTTTTTGGGGGGGGGGGGGTCTTTTTTGGTTGTTTTTTTGTTACATATATATTTTTTTAAATTTGCGTATCACGCAGAACTCTTTATCAGATATCAATTCACGTATTTTTCCCAGAGATTGGGTCAGGTTTTGTGTTTCCCTTCACTCCCGGAGATCCACGATTGTGTGACATTTGGGGGGCCGGGGGCGCGGAAAGGGCGCAGACGCGAGGAATTAACGCTAATCAGAGTAAATACCAAGGTCGAGCGTCGATTTGTTTGAGCTTTCCCCCTCGGTATGCTCGAATTTATTACCGTTTCTCGAAGGCCCGGGGGAGGACTGTCGTCCGTAAATATCACTTGGGAATTCGGTTGGCTGGAAAAAGAATGTTGAACCGGGGCAAACCACGTCAAAGGTGTGAAAAAAAAAGGCTCGGGTCGTGACCCTTTTTGGAAGACATTTTCCCTTCTACAATTTTATTTACCTAAACTCATAAATGTCAGTGCCTTGAACCACTTTAATTTTGTTTTATGTTCATCTGAAATATTCTAATTTTTCGTTTTTATTTCAATTCTTTTATTTTCTGGGGTGGGAGTTGGCCTTGCTCTCAAATAGCTTAGTAGGGAGGGAGATTTCATTTTTATATACAGGTATTCTCAGCTTTTTTTTATTTCTCGTATGTTTGTTTGCTTGCTTTCTTGTTTGTTTGTTTTTTTGTTGGGGGGAGGGGTGAATTGAATCTTTCTTTTTGCTCATCGTTTGTTCTGAGCGTCTTTTTAATTTGATCTGCTCCTTTTTAAAAGTTTAATGTTACTAATGTGCTGATACGCTCCTGGTCAATCATGGCCTTTGTTGTTCTAAACCGTCAAAAGTTTCTATAAAACATCATTTGGTATATTCCTTGTTTTATCTGTGACTTCTTCCTTATTAGCATAACATAGCCAAGGACGTGTATAGCTCTTGGATTGCGGGGAAAAAGTGTACATTGTCTATTTAACATTTTCTTGTAAAGAAAACTTACGATTAAATAAAGCATCCACAGCTTAACAAGAGGCACCATGTATTACATTCCCGACTCCGTCTCAGCCCCCTTCCCCGTCCCCATCTC